GTATAAGACATAAAACATTGATTTCAATGTAAACAATGAAACAAGGAGTCTAATTGCTCGATTACTTTACATAACTAGTGAATATGTTTTTTGTTTCAATGTAAACAATGAAACAAGGAGTCTAATTGCTCAATTACTTTACATAAATAGTGAATATGTTTTATTTTTATTGTTAAGACCATAAAAATCATTTTTTTACTAAGCAGCCACCTTCGCGGCACGGTGGGCTGCCAACACTTTATGGCACTACCATGTACTCCGTATTATTTTAAAAATAACACTCGTGATCAAGATAACAATCTTGATCACTTTTACCATTATGTTCTTTTGTAATGGTTAAGATGCATGTTTTTCTATATACTACTTGAATCCTCCGAAAATAATGCATCAATTTCTTCTTTTTTAAATATTTCTAGACCATTGGAGTAGGATGATTGAAGGTTGGATTTCTTTCTCATTCTCTCCCGAGAGTCATTAATCACCAGAACCGCTCTCTTATGGAGTGGTTCGAATGAGAACACTCCTTCTTATGAAAATTCTTATGAAAAGGGAGAACAAATCCTATCCAACCATCTTATTAAATGACCGGTTATTAAGACATTGGTGCACAATAATAAGATGGACTTTCTCACACAACATGTGGCGTACAACCAAAAATAGGAACGTGCAATTAATAAAGGGTGAAATGGTCAAGAATCATATATAATGTTCTTTAGTTGAAAATTATTTAACTTTTTAAATTATAATCTGATTTTAATAAAGTAGGAATGAATCTGGTGCATCGAATCTACGATCTAATGGCTTTAAATATGTCAAAAATGCATTAAATTTGATTAAAACGTGGTGGCATTTTTGTCAATAAATCAAATTTTTTCTTCTTTGAAAAAAGTAAACTTCCTATGTGCAAAAGTATACCGTGGATAAGCAAAAGTGGATGGCGAAAATTATCTAACTATAATTGTGCACTTCAGATGACTAAAAGTGAAGGCGTTCGCATTTTTCATGGAAAACCACTTTCTATTGGAACCAGACCTTGTGTGTGTATACTCCCTCCTCAATTTGGCACTCTCAATTTGGCACATGTGTGTGTATGTGGTCTACCTAAGAAATGATAGAGAAGAATTTTGCATTTTTTGCTTATTTCCGTTCTTCATAGATATATACTACGTATTATTTAAAAATTGAAGATGTAGATCTGAAATTGAGCCCAAATTAGCAAATGTTATATCTCCATTGCAATTAGAGGTTCAAGATGGTCAGGAACGCAAGCATCCCAATGATGGTAACATGTGTCGGAGGCCCTCAAATCCCGTTTGGGACATTACCACAATCCACTACCTGAGCACCGACAGCCTTTACAAGAGTAGTGTAGCGGTGGTGAAAAGTTTTGTACGAAGATGATTCGCACTAGATGGAGAGAGAAAGGCGAGAGGTGCTTGACATTTGACACTTCTAGGATATGTTGACCTTCTGAGTAATCCATAAATAGATAGAAGGGTGGAAGTAAAACTAGCGTAGTTGGAAAATAAATATGAAAAAACGGGGGGTAAATAAATTATATTTCATGTACTTGACACCTCTGAAATTCATATTGAAAACATGGAAGTAACCCACTAATACCGTCAATTGAGTTTTTCTTCAAGAATTCATTTGAATGCCTTCCCGATTGAAGTTTTATCTGAAATTTGGTAAGAGTAAACTAGAATTAATGAAAAGACGCTCAAAAAAATTTATCAAAAAATTCCACGAGAACTGTCCCAAATGACGACGGCCGGACAGAGCCTCCTATATAAGGGGTTATTTGACCTTTTTATGTAAGTACAAGAGCCTATATAACCCTTTTCCAAAACAAAAGGATGACACCCCATCCTTGAGGGCCCCCCAACACCGAATGAACGGCACTTTGAGAGGATGTAAATTGGACTATAATCACAATCTGACAGATAGAGAGTGTGGCTCCGTCCCCGGTACTTGCAGAGGCCCTATGCATTTTTAGCATAATAACCTCTCATCGCAGTTGCCGTGATTCGAACCCGGGACCTAAATGACCCTATATGACCCTTTTCCCAAACAATATTTATGAAGTCTTATTTTTTCTTACAATACATATTTTCCAATTTCTAATAATGTAAGCTCACTTAAGTGATAGTTTTAATATTATAGTTTTGAGAATATAAGCTCAGTAAATTGATAGTTTTCCATAATAATCTAAACATAATAAATACAGGGTCTGAAATCGATTGAGAAATGAATGTGAAATTGTGAACAACTCTCTAATAGTATTACATTTCATTTCTGAAGTACTCCCCTCTTGCCTCTCAGAAGCTTTAATTAGCTGCTGAATTCCAAGTTTGGTGTTTCCTGTCATGATATTTTACTGCCGTTTCTTCTGCACTTTCTTGTAATGAGTTCTGCTCCCACCACCTTGGCTAGGATTCTTCTTCTCCTTACTGTTTCTTGTTTCATGTTTGGCAGGAACCCGTTTTCCTTCCCCTCTTTTTGCTACTTTACTAGAAGTAATGCTGCTACCAGAAAACTTCTTCCTTTTGCTTGTAGACAGATCAGCCTCTGACTTCTTCCTTTTTCTAGGTCCCATGAAAGCTTTTTCATCTTCCTTGGGAATGTTATCAGTGACATCTTTTTGTCTGTTCTCCCATTTCCTCTTCTTGCTACTCTGTGAACTCTCAGAGTCTCCATGGCCCCCACTCTTTCCTTCCCTGAAACCAATGGAACCCTGCCAGTTAATTATTTGTGCAGTCTTTGATTTAAAAGAGCTAACAGCTGTATTTGATTTACTAGGAGATGGAAAGTAGACAGACCCCTTCAAGGAAGCTGATGAGTTTGCAGCTTCTTTAACACTTGTCTTGCCATGACGGTTCTGTATCAAAATGCATCAATTATACACAACCACAGCTGGAATAGTAAAATATGTTGGGATAAAGAGAAAAAAAGAGTACATCAAAGACAGTCTTGAGAAAGTTTTTGTATTTTTCTGATGCAATTGATTTGATAGTGCCAGTACCACATTTCCTCGCAAGAATCTCCATCACAACACCGACCTAAATTTGGAGCCAAAAAATATAACCCATCAAAAGATTAAAAGGGTTGGGAAAAATTAGTCTGTATAGCGCAAACCATGTTGCTGAATAAGTTGATACTGAAAGGTACAGTATAATGGTTTCATCAACAGATTAAAATGAGTTGGACACACTGGAACTGACAAATTGACCATAATGCATACAGAATGAACAGTTCATATATTCTGCTATGTATGCTGCTCATAATATATAGTGCCACCCATATAAACAAAGAATAGGCACACCTTTGATCTGAAATGATGACGGGAAGTAACTGACCAAGGTAGAACTCCATTAACAATATCTGGAAGGAGCATTTTCAGGTCATCTGATTGAAGGCTTGATACTAATACCTTCACAAAGCCTAAAACAGCCTGCCCCGAAATTGTATTTTCAGACACATAATTGCACAAAAAAAAGATGGTATAGTGTTATATGGTGAAAGGCCATGGTTCACTCACTTTTATAATTTCAACACCTTTACTTTGCAGCAGAGCAAGAACTGAAGGGACTAGATCAGGCACTAATTTCCAGATATCTGAGTCATTGTAAATCAGGACAGACAATGCAGAAATTGCACCACTTTTTATCTGAGGAGAGGGACCAGAAAGGTAACCCATAACCTGCACATATTAAAGGTCGCACTGTTGAGAAATTTCAAACCTTGAAGAGGGTTTTTCCCTTCACGGAGATCTAACAGATGCTATCTATTTTTATAAAAACTTCCACCCTTTTATCTTCCGGGACACTCTGAATGACAAGTTCATTTTCTAAAGTTAAGAGAGATATCGTTTCCTTTTAACAGAATATTGAGCTCCATATTGCATAGATACAAATGCATAATGAAACCATATACTGAAGTCCAGAAAACATGCAAAAAACTCTACAAGTTTCAAAGCTCAATTACAAAGAATGCCATTGATGTAATACCATAGTGATGAAATTTTTATAAGATTCCTGAGGCATGCCAGAAGAAGACTTTCGCATGTAAGAACATATCTTTGTAAGTACATCATAGGCAGCTTTTCTACTTTCTTCGTTGGACTGCATACAAATAATACAATAAAAATAATCAGCTTATAACAATTACAAATGTGTTATATGTCGCAGTAAAAAGTTGTTGGATGCTACAGTAAAATTTAATGCATAGGACAATATTGGAACATTCATGTTCAAATAGAAAAGAAAATATGGCAATGCCACAAATACTTATATGTGGTACACTGGTACATAAGATTGATAAAGAAGAAAACATGAGAATATGACAATGTATTAGATATATCTGTTTGCAACTTTCACATATGAAACACATATTAATAGAAGTCCCATACAAAACAGATGGTCAATCTTTTTTTTTTGACCATGTAAACTTTCAATCTTAAGTTGAAGAAAAGATTCTACTCCATTTACGTGATGATTGCCTATTCCTTATTTGTCTTATAATCAATATCATAACTTTCTAACACAGACCCTGTATCAATAATGATATGCTCTCATATGGTCATACTACATCTAATGAAGCTATAACTTAGCATTGGACCAATAAACTACATTTAAAATTCTTACTTCTTTCAGTGCAAGTATAATCTCATTGAGAATAACAAAAGCTTGTGTGTTCTGCTCATCCAAATTTTCCTACAAGATGCATCAGAAATAGATAAGTTATCAGAAGAACACACTACAAACAGTTAAGTGTGGAGTATATACCTTGACAGCATGAATAAGCAAGGTTTTATAGCAGGCAAATCGACTAGTTAGTGATTTGATGTCAGCTGGAGACTTAAAGGTGCTCAATAACTCCAGTGATTGAGCAAAATATGAAGAACGGAACCAATGATGCCTCTGACATGAAATTGTGAAAATGAGTGAACTAGAATATCATACACACACCCAAAAACAAAAAGTTCCAACCATCATACAGACCTCTAACATTCTACTAAGGGTGTTATATGCTTCAGCCTGGAATATCCCATCATTTTCCTACAAGCACAATGTTTAGGAATGATAACAGTCGGTCTAATGAAATAAAGAAGAGAACGTCTACTGTGCGAGAAATAAATTACCTCCAAACATCGCTTAATAATGCTAAAAATGGTTAGAATGAGATCCTCATTAGATCCTCCAATGATACATAATGCCAGCTCTAGTATCATCAGCCTTTACCCCCACATAAAAAAAGGATCACTATATACTTATATATTGCACAAGAATATAAAGATAAAAAGGTAAATAAATAATCAAACAAATAGCTAAGAACTTAATTTCAAAGCTTTTTCATATGATCAATTAGTAGCCTACGCTGTACCATGACACCTTACCCGGTGTCACCATATGGTGCTCCAGTCCTGGGTGAAACTGAAGCACAATGAGACGAGCTTATTCAAGTAGACACATGAAAGAATCAAATTACTCAGACAATCAGTTGAAGTCGAATTCTGATGATTTGGGAAAAGAGACTAGATTTAAGAAACAAACACAGTCAAAGCACTATCCGCAATAAACGGTGAGATCTGTTGTGGTCTTACAAACTTAAAAACAACATCCAATAATGATCAAATGAGAAGAGTGCTTATTGTAAGAAATGAGAATGCATCTTGTGCGTTGAATTTGAGATCTAATGGGTGGAAAGTGCCAAAAATACTAAAAAGTGATGCAAGACGCAGTGGCAATTCCGTAATTAACCGGAACTTTTCTGCCATCGCAAAAAAGTGCACCAGATTAACAATAAAGTCAACAAAAAGGAGGAAGTGTGAAACTTCTCATTTCTCACGTTAAGATGTCTACTTATTAGAACGCGACCCTATATATATTAAGAAAAATGTCCCCAAATGAATCATAAAATAACATGAGAAAACCAAAAAAAAATCACATTCCCAAGTTAAAATAGGTTTATGATTGTTAGTCACCTCTTCGAAAATTCTGGAAAAGGGATTGCATTAACTTTCCCCTGGTCACGATTGATACAATCAGAACCATCTAAACGCACTTCACATGCATTATAGCCAGCTGCAAGCCCAAACTTCTCCAGTATAGATGTGCCTACTCTTTTAGTAGTTTCTGAATCAGATACCGATGACAAGCATTCAATTGCCTCCTGAGGTTTTTGTTTGTTTAGAATGAGGTGAAGAAGGAATTCAATACAGTTGCAAATGAAGCAAGACTTTTATACAGAAAGATCAAACTTTTAAATGAACTAGAATCATCTATGGATGTGAAAATGTCAAACACCTTTTAAAATATCTGATAATAAACAAATCCTTATGAATCTTCTATGAAACAAATAAGCTGAGTCATCAGTTGCCACATTTCATATATAACTAATTAGAGAGAACCCAAGCACATCATCAAACAATTGCCCTAGTCCTGCTACAGATCCATGTAAGAATACAGCACTTGGTAATCCGAATCAATTCAATGTAGTCAATGCGGAAAAATATCATATACCACATGTAGACCAAGTTCCAGTCACTTTAAGTATATAGATTACACACTCAAAAATCTAGGTCCATCTATTAAGGGACCAGATGCTACAACTGCAAGAAAAATGTAATTTCTTTCATTCTTAGACACTAAATACAGTTATACCCGTTATCCAGGATAGGGTGCTCTATGGCATGTAAGGAAAGTAATGAAAATGCAAAAATAAATGAAGACCTTCAGATATTCATGTGTCTCGGGATATGACTCTATTAAGAAATCTGTTAAAGCCTGAAGCAAACCCTCGGAGCAAGCAGAAATAGCCTCAATATTCTTTTGTGCAATCTTTGTAGAATATGCACTCTTCTTTATTAGTTCAATAGCAAAGTTGTCAATCTCCCCATCATCAAGGACTCCAATTGATCCAGGGAAATCACACTTTGTAGCTATTTTCTTGTTCTGATTCACCAGATTCTGCATGTATAGACACAGACACTTGAAGAAGAAAGAACATTGGATGTCGGGGGAAGCAACAAATAAATTACACACACAAAACATTTTGACCAACCTTCAATGATGTAGCAATTGCTTCAAGCATGATGGAATCTTTTCTGAGAAATGGAACCAACATTTTAGACAAAGCGTTGAAATTCTGGCAAATATCAGTAGGACCACGACAAAAGGCCACCAACAAGCCCCAGCAGTCATGGGCATAAGCCTGCAGTTCTTGCCGAATTACAGACTTTTTAACTGGCAAATCGCAAAGATTAAATTCAAGATATGGGTAAAAGATCTTATTGGTGTTAGGTTAATGCATCATGATATGGGTTAAACAATAGAAACAAGCAGTATAAATAAAAAAGACTAAAGATAAAAGCCATTTTGCACTCAACTGTCAGAATAAATTTTGAACGATATAATTGCAGTTCAATTAAATGGAATAGAATATGAAGGGCAGATTATATCCTTAAAAATGCACTTGTAATTTAAACAACTTGTATACCTTTCAAGGATGCTTGTTGGAAAGACTCTGCAAGTGGAACAATGTGTTCCATGAAAAAGCCCAGGGATGAACGACGAATATATTTACTTAGAATAGGGATGAGCCAAGTGTTTGAGGAAGAATAATCCTTGACGTTTAAGGAGATTGGCAGAAGTGCAAGTAAGTTATCTGGACCCATAGAAATAGTGGCATATCCAATACACTCTTGAAGCTGAATATCCCAAAGAAAGAAAGAAAGAAAGAAAGAAAAAACTCAAACAAGAGCATAGGAGATCAATGACACAGACAAATCTACAGAAAACTTTTATTTAAATAATAAAAGTAATACAAGTACACCTTGATCTTTAGCTATAGCTTCTAGATCTCTCAATAAGATCCTTGCATGCTTTGGGATAGTAAATAACACTTTAGTACAGTAAACTGAAGGTATGGTAGTACAGAATAATAGCATTTGTTGGCCTTGCATAACCATAATATCATACTACGTATGTAACAATCTAAAACATAAGTTAGTTTTATATTAATGTAAGTTGCAGATAACCAAATTGTTGAATCCTGACAGTCCAAAACATATGCTACGGATATAAAAACAGAACCAGGCATAAAACTCCATGAATGAGCAGCAAGTAATTTAACTTCTGCCATGCAGAAGAAGCAAAGCATGTTTATTTGGAAACTTACATGTTTAGTGCCAGAAGATTCATTGACACAAGAAACATTCATCCAAGCAGCAAGTTGTAGTAGTATATCTTTCATAGAGAAATATGATATCTTACCTGAAATCATGCATCAAAGAATGAAAATTTAAGAAGCCCTTATTGCAAGGAGACTTGTCTTTTGTTTCTGAATTTTCAAAGTGATACGTGTGTCTTCTATTTTGAGTCATGATGAACTACCATTCAGTCATAGAGAGTGATGTTCTTCTTAACTCAGTGATTGAATCATCATTTCATCATTTTCATTTACCCCAGTGCCGCAAAGGCTCCCACCTACGGTGGGGTAAGGGGGGTCGGATGTACGTAGTCTTACCCCTGTACTAAAGCACAGAAAGACTGTTTCCGGATGACCAATAGTGAAAATCGCGACCAAAATTGCATGGACTGACTGCTGTTTCATCATAACAAAGAAGCGCAAACAGTTTAGTGAGTCATTGCGCTTTATTCCATCATATTCTCAAGCCAAAAAATAATGAATCTTTGTCTCCATTGCAAATGGTGGAAATAACTCAGTGATTGAATGCGTAGCTTAAAATTGCTTGACAAGTTTAACAAATCCCCCATTCACATTTCTATTTATTTTTTGTTTACTGACAAGTAATTACTAAAGTTTTTTAAAACAGTAGTGTTTAACCAAACGGTGAATGTGTTATCAGTAAATGTATAACTCAGTAGGAAATAAAAAGTGTCAATTTACCAAGTTTAAGAAACAACACGGATATGGTTCGCAAAATATGTTCATTCGGGATTCCATCAGAAGTCCTAAGAATGTCATAAAAGACAGCACAAATAGATTTCACGGTTGCAAGTTCAGGACTGTTAATAGCTTTGTCATCAACCATCTGTTTTTTAGTAGACGATAATTTCTCATTATCAAGATGCACTTTGATCAACTCTTGCAAGATAAGTGATGCTGGCAGACCTGTAGCCTTACATGTGAGAAGACCTAAAGAACAAGGGCAAATAAAAATGTAAGTGGTGTTCTTAGAATGTAAAAAGAAAAAGTGAATTGAGTGAAAATATAATGTGCAATATACTTTCTCAAAATCCAAGTAGAATGAGAAGCCATACCGGTTAAGGACCGAATTACCAAATCTAGATGGCTACAACATCCATTCACTTCACCATCATGAAGCTTCTTCATAATTCTTTCTGTCAAAGTTGCAGCGACCAGTCTATTGTTGGTAGGGTTCTCCAAGCAAGTCATGTATGAAACAAGCAACTTTAAAATGTTTTCAGAATCTTGAGCTACCAATTTCACTTTTGGAGAGCCTAAAATCACGCCAATATTATCAAAAACATGTCTTGTCAAATCTGAGTTATGGGACCTCATTAGGTTCAACAGATGTGGCAATATTTTTTTACACACTTCCACAGAAAGATATGGGGTAATGGTTTTCATCAAGTTAAATGTGTGATGCAATTCTTGATGTTCAGGTTTTGAAATAGAATCATTTTTAAATCCACCAACAGCCTCTGGAGTAGACATTTTTATTGCCAATGACAAGTGGCCTTCCATAAATGAGTAGAGCTTTTTACTAGCCCTTTTAATCATAGAAGAAGACTGAAGTGACTTCATAACTGTTAAAGCACAATCAAGAGCGCATTTCCTCACCTGAAACAAAATTAGGGACATAACAAAAAATCAGTTTATCCATCACAAAAAAGAAAATTGAAACCCAGAGGCTTCCTATACTTACAACTATAAATACCGTTCATTACTGACAACAAATTGCCTAGAATGTTGTAAACGCCTATAAAAATAGAATTTACATTTTACAATAGGCTAGACAATTTAAGTTAAATAAAAAAGAACTTAATAGTGATCCAAAAACAAACAAAAAAAAATCAGAAAGGAACCAGCTTGGTGGGTTGAATACCAAAACAAAGGTACGACCGTACAATTGTACAAATAAATTTAATTCCCACAATAAGCCATGACAAGGCACCAAAAGAAAAACCATTGCCAAGAAAAAAGGATCAGACGAGATTAATGTTGATCACACGCTGCTTTACAATTCCTTATTTATCACTCAAATTTATTTCTGCCGCTGTGTAAACCTCCCGAGTCCTGACCATAAAGTGACAGCAAATCAATTAACTTCTGATATACTTAAGTTTCCTTTTTCGAGAGCAAGAGTTAAAGATAATCAATTGTCCACTACTTTATCACATTAAGTAGTTGTGTATCCAAGATGAAGAGGACAGACCTTTGGACGCCTATCAATAGAGAACTTCAGAAGTGCCTGCAACCCCAATCTAACAGAGTCCCAGTCCTCCAAATCACAGAACCCCAACAAGATCCCAATGCACTTGACCAATGCCCTCACGCTCGAACTCCCCACAACTGCGTCATCCCGGGGAAGCTTCTCCAGCACCGCTACCAGCATTCCAACGGCTTCGGTGGCTTTGGGAGGGGGAATCGCCTTTTCCGGTACCAGAGGAAGAACAATAGAGAGAAATGATGAGAGTGCAGCTATGGCGTCGGAATCCAGCTCGGGAGAGTCAGCGAGAGTGGAGATGGTGGCGGCAAAGTAGGAAAACGGGGTAAGGGGAAGAGACTCCGATTGGATGATAGATTTGGCGGCGGCGGCTGTGGCGCAAAGGTGACGGTGTTGAGCCGCCGATGACTTGCCATAGCGGCTGAAGAGCTGTTGGCATATGTCTGATTTCTCGTTGAAGAATGCTGTGTCCGGGAGCTGTCCCTGGTTTTCCATTGGCTTGAAAATTTGGTGCACAAGCCAGTCTAACTAAAATTTGAGAGGGGTTTACATAGGGTTTATGGAACAGCAACGAAGTTATAGAACCCTCTTTAACATACAATAAAGGAAAATGCCAGGGGTACACAAGTTATACACAACTTGTACACACAATGTCGGTCACAGATAATTGGTACGGAGTTCTCTGTGACTACAGACAAGAGTTGTCTACTTGTCTGTATACACAGACAAATTTTGTCTGTTTCCACAGACATTTGTTTTTTGTAAAAAGTACTTGTCAGTGTCAGACGGCTCTCAGTGTACTTTTTACAAAAAAGTAAATGTCTGTGGAAACAGACAAAATTTGTCTGTGTACACAGACAACTCTTGTCTGTGGTCACAGGCAACTCCGTACCAATTGTCTGTGACCGACATTGTGTGTACAAGTTGTGTACAACTTGTGTACAACTTGTGTACCCCTAGTATTTTCCTACAGTAAATTTGGCACGTCATCAATTTTTGGAAGTGCGTAGTATGATTGTATGAACTGTGAATAATTCATGACATTATATTGTCATTTATTTATCTTCATTTATTTAAGTCTCTAACAATTGTGATTTTTTAATTAGTCTATGTACATACTTTAGAAGGTGTGAGGATTTGACTTCTCATATCTTTTTCCTCCCTATTATATTCTCTCCCTCACTAAATTGCATATGTAAGGGAAAATATTTAAAATATCCCAAACTTTGAATGGGTATGAGGTAAACACCCCAAATTTGCATATGTAATTTAAATGCCCCAAATTTTATATGAAAAGTTATTTTTGTATCGTGGTCATGCATTATTTCTTTCAAAAATGTTAAATTTTTGTGTTGATTTCATAATTTAAAATATTTTAGCTTTCATAAACATTAAACATACAATTAACATTCTAAACTTTCATTGTAAAATAAATAATATCCCCCCCACTCTATATAATTGTAGTGTTTTTAGTTTTCTATTTTATATTATGCAATTAACACCATAAATTTACATTTTTTAAAGAAATAACACATAACCATGGTGCTAAAATAACATTTTATATAAAATTTGAGGTATTTAAATGACATGTGAAAGTTTGGGGTGTTTATCTCACACCCCTTCAAAGTTTGGGGTATTTGAATTATTTTTCCCAAATTAAATTCTCATTTTTGTTGAATTTATGTCCCAAATTAAAAGTTTAACTTCTATTTTTGGTAACAATTGTCATTTAATTTACCATCCTGCCCCTTCATTTCTCATATTATTTATGTTTTCTTACCATACTATTCTTACTCTATATACTCTCTTCATTTCCCATTCGTCCTTCTCTCCGTCGTTTAACATAACTCCGGTGTTATCCATCTACCTCGCCTTCTCTTGTTCTTATGTCTTTTTCTTCGCTGCTACCCATCTACCTCGTCTTCTCTCATATTTGTATGTTGTCTTCTCTATTGCTACCCATTTACCTCTTCTCTTCCAACGCAACCCTTGGGCTTTGGGACACCTTTGAATTGATAAATGGACAACCGACATGAACCCAGTTGTCTGTCACCGGTGAAAACTCCTCCATTGGCTTTACACATGCAATTGGAAAGTGTTTTCTTACACGCAGGGAAGCACACGTCGGGCTTAGATCTGGAACGGCCATATCTGAAATCTGCAAGGCCTATAGATCCATCGGTTTTATTATAACTGCTCCCTATATATGTATAGTATGTATGTATGTATGTATGTATGCATGAATGTAGTTTGGTTCGGGAGTATCTAACGTGTCAAGTGAGAAATTTTCATTTTTAGTTCATTGTGTTGCACTTCTATGTTCATGTATTAGACTTTCTCACAATGACAAACGTTAACTTATTTAAAAAAAATTGAAACCATGTTCTTTTCATATCAAAATGTCCATATTTTGTAATAGCGTGAAGTGCAATTATTCATCATACAAGTGTGATATAGAGAAGTGGAGGTGAAATTTGTGTGTTCACATATTAAGAACTTTTCTTTTATCCAAATTTTATACACACACATGTTTCACTTTCAACGGTGTACCCACCAAATCCAAATTCTCTTCTCTTCGTATCAATTTCTACCCAAGTATTCTTCCACATTCACATCTTACAGTGAGAACTGGTGTCAGTCTTTTGAGAATTCTCTTAATGAAAGATATTCTTCAACTGTGATTTAATAATGCTTGCTTGGTTGCTGAATTATATTTGAATATATGCTTTTAAATTCTCTACTGAATACTAAGGTGGCATAAAGTTTGTTAAAATATATCATGCTTCGTGTATATTAATATAAATAAATAATCCAAAATAAGATTAAAAACATTTGTGAATTCTAAAATATGACTCATGTTTTTATTCCCTTAATGGAAGTAATTACTGCATGTCTTTACATTATCAGACTTTAAACATAGCATTTTTTAAAACTTTGTAGTAATTACTCTTATTTAGGGAATAAAATCATGAGACTTGTGGTTTGGAATTTCATAATGTCTTACTCCTATTTCGAGAATTTTCTCATTTATATATGAAACGATATTAATACCATGCATTGTAGATTTGTAGATCTCTTATTTATTTCTTTTAATGTGTACCTTATGTGAATAAACATTACTTTGATCGATCTCTCATTCTTGAATTTATGTCTTCAATTTGTGTATGACCCTTGAACAATGGGTGCTTGGGAGTTCTTCTACTCAAATTTCTTGAATTTTTGTCTTCATTAGTATTTATTACAAATACCAATGCAAAGCTTAAGTAATTGTAACGTCTATGAGTGCATTAATACATGTGGTTAAGTTCACTTTCAAATAAGTTTAAATATACACGACCAAGGCATCATTGATGAGGCTCGAAGTTTGTCTTTTCAGCCCTAATCAAAGATCAACAACCCCTAAGACATTACAAAGATCTTTGCAAGGTCGTCTTTAACCAATTAATCCCCTCCTCTTCTGACCTAAGACATGTGATCCCCTCATTGATCTAAGGTCACTTTACTTTAAGGTAAATCTTCTCTTTTCCAGTTCCAATCAAGGATGAGTTGACATAATACACTTGTCCATAATAGTTTATGTTCGTCCTTATTTAGAGATAACCCTCAACAAAGGTTGGTAGTCGATATCTGACCTCACTTGGAGGAAAGCATCAAAACTTGACCTTTAACGACAGATGCTTGACATCTCAAGAGCAATATATCAACATATTGGGAGCACGTATGAGGCTTTGCTACCTCAAGGCAAGTTTTCTATTATCTTTGTTGAACTATCTCTATGCATGAAAGAGCTAACCCAAGCGGTTAACTTCAACTGTGTAATGTTTATCCTCACGAGAGGAAGACTTCTAGACCTTAATGGTCGATGGTCAAACTTGATAAGAGAATTGGAAGACATCAAAATATATATTGGTTGGTTTATTTGGTCTATTTGTTTTGCCATGCTTGATGTGCTTGGCCTCTATGTTTAACCACTACGCCTCAATGATGTGATATGATGCTCAACCTTGCAAGAGGAAGATCCGCCCTAACGGTTTTTGTTTGACCTTGTTAAGAGGATGAAATCAAACCTCTAGGCGGTTGTTGAACATATTAGTTATCTTCATATAATGACGACATGCCCTCAATCATTTGATCACCGACCTCGCTAAGAGGGAGACTTGTGGAGCCTAAGCTCATTTGGATGATGTCATATATGATCTTTTCCAACAATGGTAGACAAGTGGATTTGGATGAGGCCGAACATGAGGCCATAATGAGAGACCAACACAACATTTGACTCTTTTCCTTGATTTTACTATAACACTTTCTCAATTCTCGCGTAGGGTTTTTTGACGAAGAACCTCTTTTTTTCTCTCATATAGGTACTCTTCATAAGGGCCGACCATGGAGGCAATTAAAGACGTGTAGAATTAGACCTAGTTTGTTGGTATGTATCTTGTGACTTTGATGTTGTATAAGTAGTCTTAAGTTTATATTCCCTTGCATTGTGACGTGCACTTTGTCGTGAGTGCACTCAAAATAGATTTATTACTAGCACTTACACGTAGTATAGGTGAAGTAGAGTTCGTATCCACAGGGAAAGGAATAATTCTCTTTTTATGAACTAGTAAATAAAGGGGGGTTTTGTTTGTTGAGTGATTTAATTAAATTAAACACGAAGATGAACGAGTTATATGGGTTTAAATTCAGGAATAAAAGGGACTTGGTCTTGCTACTTTCCACTTGTTGATATATTTTAGTCGATCATTGTTATATCTATAACTTATCCCCTCTCGAATACTCAATCGAGGAGTATATCCAATTCATCGAGGGTAGTTATTAACAACGACCGTTCATTAATAACCCTTACTATTAACCAAATATAGAACAACGCCGTATACCGATTTAATAGTAGCATTTAACCTCTTTAACTCCTTGATGAAATCAATTGAGATTGATAACCTCAACACAACGGTTTCGGTTTAACCAACAAAATTAATCCCTCTTAAGTTTATTAACCACGACCGTGCATTAATAAACCGAAGTTACTTACTTATGAAACCTTCAACGTTTAACCATCGGTTCGTTGAACGTTTCTAGTAATAATCAATGTCGGAACGTTAACTAATCGTCACTTAGCCACCCTCCAACAATGGTATAGAATGAGATTAAGGGAAGAATTAATAATCAAGAGGAGAAAGTAAGAAAATAACTCACAACTTTAATAATCAATCAAGCTTCAAGAGCAAAACCAAGAAATGGAAGTTTAGCTCCTCATTTGGAGACTAAACATGCTAAAAGAAATATAGAGAAATGCTATTCTAAACTGAGCTTAAGCGTATAAAGGAATTGGTGTCTTTTTTGTGGAGGAAATGTGGTGTATTTATAGGCTTTTTAGGCCTGCAGGGTCGTGTACCCGATCGGGTTTTCAGCCCAACCGATCGGGTAAGGGTTATTTCCTCGAAACTGAAAATCTGGGGTCATACCCGATCGGGTATGTCGGCCACCCGATCGGGTATGGATACGCGATCGAGTTAAAAAATCCTCCTGCATGTTGCCTTGTTCCCGGGTTGATTCGATTTGACTTTTCAGCAACTTACCCGATCGGGTATAGAGCATACTCGAC